CTCTGCCTTCTTCCAGTAGATCGGTATGAATTCATGCGCATACATTCAATCATATTCAGACAACTTTGTCGGGTTATGAAATCAATCCAGAACATCAATTATTCAATTTTGTTTCAAATTAAGCTCAAATGAACTGAAAAAAAAATGTTTAACTCCCTGAATGTTGATTAGATTTTTTGCACTATTTGGTGGAAGCGTAGTGATTCAGTAGTGTAGTGACCGAAGCGCGGGAAATGTTACTTAACTGTTTAATGAATATTCATGAGGAATATTCATGAGACGAGAAATATTCTTTGCTTATTTTAAGGAACAATAACCGATCTAGCGAACAAAATATCAATTGAATTGACGGAATGGGACATGTTAAAAATGTACATTTGAATTTGAAATATTGAAACTAAAAAAATATTCATTATATTGTCTCTGAAAAAACTGCCGCTAGGGTCCCTGTGTGTTTACACAGACCAACAGCTATAGACTGTGGCTATAAATAGCCACCGTCTAAAAAGCAATGTGCTATGATTACCTGGATCCAAAACAATTTACCAATTGGTACAAACAACTGAAGCAATTCTTCATTTTTTCCCTCTCCTCTTTTGTTGAACGTCAGCAGTCAGCGGGACACTGTCAAAATAAAAATAAAAGAGATTTTTACTTAGATCATGAATTCTTGAAGTGAGGACACCAAATGATTTTTTTTTTGTATTTTTTCTCGTAAAACATAAGCCATTTTGCTTGTTACACTGTACACTATGTTGACAGTACTGTATGAAAGGACATTGGAAATATTACATCATTCAAGTTTTAGTTATATTTTTTTTTTACTCTTACATTGAAACCTGAACCAAGTACTTGTTTTCCACATCCCTCATACATTTTTAAAATATCTCTAACAAAGTCAGAAAAAATGCATTGAGAAGAAAATAACCATTAACAGTATGAAACAATTTCTTCTTGTAAGAAATATACTGAGAAAGGTACCAAAGGGAAAAGGGAAAGTTTTAACTTCTATTTAGTTTGAATTTTTCTCCCCAAGGGGAGTGGGCCGATCCTGGAGGTACTGCAATACCAGGCCAACCCGTGGCGAGAGCGGAGCAAGCCCCTGACATCTCACCTCATGCCAAAAATCAGTTTAATATCGTAGTTCCCATGTAGGGAACGTATCAGATATTAAGCTGATAAGAACAGATACTACACTTTGATCTTAGCCAAAAGGCCGAGAAGCGATACTTATACAGGGTGAAGGAAGGTTTAAATATCCTGAAGATTTGTCATGACTCTTATCCATACATATTTGCATTCTCTCATATAAAATTCTAAGTTTCTGAGTTATTTTCAAAAACATTTTGCCTTCTTTCCAAGATTTACAAATAAGTATTATATATCAAGATTTCTTGAAAAACTTCATTAGTTTTTTTATTTAATTTAACTAAATTATTAATAAATTGAATATATTGAATACCTTCTTGTTAACCTAGTTCATTTTCCTTGATGTTTAACATAACCCAGTAGAGGGCGCTGTTTACGAAAACTCTGATCAAGCAGACTTTTGACAAAGCTGTTTTTATATATCAATATTCATTAAAAAAAGTCAAAATAATAGACACTTTAAAAATTCTTGATAGCAGGGTCATGTTTTTAGAAATTGCACAGAAGAATAGATATTAGAGATCTTCAGAAACTAGGTTGTTCAAGACGGCAAGAGTTATCTCTCATGCATTAGCTCATACACTGCTGTGTGATAATACTATTGCTTTAATATATACACTATCAAACTTCCCGTCTCCTGCTCAGTCAGCCATATTTAAAAACAATACATTAGAACTGTGACGTCACGGGTGCTCTCCACACTCCGCTTCAGATCGATAACTATGAGATATGCTAGATGCGCAAGGGGTACCGAATGTTACCCTATTTTCGTATTATTGCGCAATAGCTTAAAACAGGAAGTACACACAATAACGAACCCGATGGTATGACTTGAGTTTGAATCGTCCGAAAGAAAAGTTTGAAAGGGTAATTTAAAAATGATATTGTTTACTTCCGGTGCCTTTTTTGTGATTAAAATATGCTAATCTAAATAAATTTTTACATATTTTATTCTGCTTTATGAAATTTTTGTGTGAAAAGAGATAATTTTACCAAGGTCATATAGGACACGTAGATTCATGAAAATTTTTGTTTTTTTGGGTACACTACCGATAAACATGGTTACACATTCATTGAAACTCAAAACTCTTGGTACAATTTAAGTAAAAATGGCCGCTGATAGCAAATGAATTAGCAAACTGAGTCTTATAAAGTAGAAATACCTATAGCATTATTGCAGAATGAAGGAAAGGACAACATTTTTACATCATATAACGTGTTCTGATGCCCTGTGTGAATAAAAAATCATTAAAGAATATTGTACAAACACTTAATAATATACTGCCAAGTGTTGTCTCAATAGTTCATATACTGAGATAGTATTTCATGTACTTTATTGTTGACCTGTTGAAAATTCTTCAGACCACCTGCCTTGGACTTCAACATTTTTTAAAATATCATATTTTAAAGTTCATGGGCTTTTCACAAAATATTTCTTTTCTTTATAAAGTCAACAACCACTAAAAAAATATACAGGGAAGTTGTGCTTTATGAAAAAAAAAAATATTTCGAGAATAGTCAGTGTCCTTATAATTTATTCAAACATATATTGCAGTAAAAGCTGCTGCTGCATGCATGCAGTTAAACACCTTCTAAAGTTTAATTTGAAGTCATTCCGAGCATTTTTAGATATGCATTTTACATGCAAACTTACAAAGTATCATAAATTAATGTTGACACTTACAGATGCGTGCCAAAAGTGAAGATAATTATTTTCTTATAAATATCATTGAAAACATTTTGTAAAATTACAGGGTACAGGTATTACAAAAAATCTTAGTTAACAGATTTTGCAACAAATTTCTTAAATTTCTGATAATCCAAAAAATTGCTGTAGTTGATAAAAACAAGTTGGAAAAATATTGACCATTTGCCAGTGATTTTACAAAATGTTGTTTTCAATGAAATTTATAGAGAAAAATATTTATAAAATTATTTTCACTTTTGACACGGACCTATAGCCTTGCTCAACATTTGTTAAAACTTTTTGCTTTCTAGTTTGCACCCATGGTAAATTTTTAAGAAGTATTGAAGTATTTGAATAGTCTTTATCTTTCTCTATATATCTTGATGATTGGATTTTCAGTTTCCAGTCTGATTAAAATAAAACGTTTACTAGTTCCTCTTTATTTTGAGTGTCATACTACAATCAAAATGAAAAGGAGCTGGTAAAGGTTTGATTTTAATCAGACTGTTCATTTCATAAATGTCATCAAGTTATCTGGTAAAAGATAATGAGTTTTCTGTACTTCTAGCTTCTCTGAGCACATAAATGTACATAAAATGTTGCAAATAAGTTTGTTCATATGCAACAGTTAAAAAAATTATTATTGATTATATTAGGAGACAACCACTCAATATACCAGGGGCTGGCAATATTTTCGGGATAGATTATTTTCATCAATTGAAGATATTGACAAGCAAAAAAAAAAAGTGATTATTTGTTTCAGGCCAACTACAGTTAGACAATTAATTTTCAACATTTACAAAGGCTAGTTAATTTATTCAAAATTCTGTTAGGCTTCCCCTCAGAATAAGATGGTTGTCCTCTTTTAATGGAAAGTACAGTATATCAGGGAGTTGCATATAAACATACTAATTTGCTACATTGTGTAAAAGATGATTTAAAAAAAATAGAAAATTTATATGAAATTTTATTTCATTTCTTCTACAGAAATGGAGCATGAAATAAAGTTACAGTGTATGTGCAGACTCTGTGGTGTTAAAATCCCTGTGAATTCAAAATCCCATCCCAAAGAAAACTTCAAGACTGCCATTACCTCCCTTTACAACATTGACATTGACAGTGACTCTAACAATATTCATCCTTCTAGAATTTGCACCGCGTGTAGACTACGACTGACAAGACACAGCCAAGCTGAAGATGACATTATTGTTAATTTACCTGTTTTGCATGAATTTTTGCCTCATTCAGACAGTTGTGACATTTGTTTTGTAAAACCTGGCAGACCAAAGAAAATATTAAAGAGAAAGCTTAACGTCCCATCACAGTCCCAAAAGAACAGTTTCATCCGACAAGAGCACTCTTATCACAGCGCGGACAAAGACAAGTCAAGACCTTCGACAGAGACGACAGACATCACATCCTCTGACTGTCCATCTTCATCCTCATTTTGTCCCCTTGTAAATAAGTCTGTTTGTGTAGATCATCCATCAGGTTCATCATCATGCTCCATTTGTCCCCCTGTAGATAGTTCCCCTTTTCCTCATGTAGATAAATTGTCAATTGTTGATGATTCTTCTTCTGCTTCTGCATCTGAAATGTTCAAAAATGTTGTTATTAGAAGTATTCCTGTGGAGCGCTTCTGTAATGCAGAAGTTGCACAATCTTTTATGTGTACAGTTTGTAGAGGTGTCCCAGTTGACCCCTACATTTCAAAGTGTAGTCACATTTTTTGTAAGGAATGCATTTTTGGTTGGTTTGCTTTGTCAAGTGCATGTCCTGTCTGTAGATCTTTACTTGATGAGAGTGAGGTGTCCCCCCTCCATGGTCAGCTTCTCCAAATTTATGATACATTGTTAGTGCATTGTATTCATGCAAAATGTTCAAATTCCCTGTTGATTAGAAATATAGATGAACATGAAAGTACCTGTTCAATGAGAGCTACAAAATTTTTGTATGATGTCACAACCAAACCCAAGGTGTTTAAATTACCTCTTCATTCTGTCTCTGCTAAGCATACACGTCATAAACGTCTGAAACCTCTTATATCTCAAGTCAATGAATTTTGTACAATGCAAGAAGAGAACAAGTCTGATGTTTTGTTTTTTATGTTAAAAGACCATTTGAGGGATATTAATGATCCACGTTGGAAGCAAGTTGAGAATTTGTGGCTTGGAAATGATAACACTCTGTCTCCAGAACAATGTCTTGCAATTCGTGTTGATCTTTTACAAAGTAAGGGACAATATAGATCCCAGTATGATTTTCTTTCCCAAAACAATGTTCATGTTTTTCAAGCCCCATGTAAAATGGAAAGTTGTGAGAGTTTGTTTATGCCCTCTGCGGCTATTTTTCAAGTTGTTAATAATGAGGGCAATGTACTATTTCAAAACTGTGAAAACCCTCACACAGAGCCTCTCAATATCAATGAATGTTTTATGCCAGGTTTTGTGGAGATGGCAACTCCAAACTGTATGGGAGCTAGGTTTTCATATTTTGAAGCTCTTTCTGTTACCCTGCAAGAACTAGAGTCTGAAATTACAAATAGTTTAGAAAATCATGGGTTAAACATTGAGAATGTCTTTTTTCATACAACTGTTAAAGATGGGTGTGACGGAATGGGTGAAGTTTCTGTTTATAGAGAAAAAGATTATAAAATGTTACCAGACAAAGCTTTTAGATTTTCCTTCTGTATTGTCAAAATTGAAGCAGAATATCAAGGCAAAATGTATGACGTTTTTAATGAGCCATTGCCAAATAGTGTAAGAACAAATAGACCACTTTTAGAATCTATTTCGGATGAAAACAATCATGTGTCAAATGTTGTTTGTATTTTACCTATTGAAAATGAAAGGGAAATTTTGATGCAAAATCGCATGCATGTTAAAACAAAACAGGGTTGGATGTTCCATAAATTTTCATTTTTCAATTCTATGGTTGATGAAAAGAGAGATAGGGGAGACTCTGGTCTTCAGGGTAGTGGGTCGAAATATTTATGTACACTATGTGATGCAGATAAACAATCTGCAAAAGAATGTCTTGGATCTTTTGTTATTAACAGGTCTGTTTCTGAATGTACAAAAATTGCAGAAATTTTACGTGTTAATCCAGACTCTTTATCAGAAAATGAATTGAAAAAAATTTCAAAAGGTGTCAAATCTGCCCCACTTACAAAAATTGAACCAATTCAGAAAGGTATAGATGCCACACATGCAGATATTAATTTAGGACAGTTTTTTAAGAAAGTTATTGTTCGTGAAATAGCTGGTGTTACTAAATGGGAGCTTACACAAGATGTCAAATCATTAGTTCAAAATGCAGAGTCTTTGTTTGATAATCATATGAAATGTAACTGTGGTATTAATCCCCAGCTTATGATGCCTGGTAATTATGCCAGAACCCTTTTTGAAACGCCTCATTCTGTTTTGTTGGCACTTATTTCAGATTCTGTCAGAAAAGAAAATCTGTCTTCTGTTTTGGATATATTTTTGAACCTTAGGAAAGTTTATAGATGTAAGGATCCTCTGAAAGAATGTCCATCAGATGTAAAAAATTACAAAAAAATGCTGTTGAAATGGGGACTCTTTTACTTGAAAATTTTGATTATGTAGAGTGGCCTAATTATTTACATAAAGTTATTGAACATGTCCAGCAACTTATAGAAGACCCAAATGGGCCTGGGTCAATAGGGGCTTTTAGTAGTGAGGGCAATGAGGCAGGCAACAAACTTTTTAGACATTTTAGAAAAAATCTTTCCCGACGTGGAAACACCTACGGCAGTTTGTGTGATGTTTTAAAACTTCATTGGCTTTATAGCAGCAAGGCTCTTTTTAAGCTTGCTGAGGTTGAGCACAAGAAAATTCGTTGTTCTTTGTGTTTTACTTGTGGTCATAATAAGAGAACTTGTCCACTTCTAAATACTACTCTGTAAATCTTCAAATGAATATTTCACTACAATATGATCATGCAGAGCATTTTATTTCATTTAATAACTTTGTTCATGATCATAATAGATTTCTTTTGAAATTTTTCAAATTTATACTTTTACATGTACATGTTACATGTATTTGAACCAAATTATGTAACATTTTATGTGTTATTAAGGAGTAGTTTAAATGCCCCTAACAAGTTTGTATATAAAAGTATATATATGTAAATAGATCAATGTATATAGATCAATATGACACATTACTCAGAAACTTAGATTCTTGTATGCATTTAGTTCAATGTGCCTGTCCAATAGTTATACATTCATATGATCATACAAATAGATATAAATATATGCACATTGAAACACGATAATGATCTTATTTCTTTGTTCAGTCAATAACAAGCAAAAAACAACAGGAGGTGCTATCTACAGTAAAAGCCCTTAAAACAATTGTAAAAATGATCATGTGAGAGATTTCCTCTTCTTACCTCTGGATGTCTTAGAACAAGTAGTACAAATAAATCTTTTACGACTCATGTCGATATCTAAAACTCCAACACAAAATTGATGTAACCATCTTTTACAAGTACCCTCACACTGAATCCAAGATATTGGAGATGTTTCAGTGGATTCAATAATTCTACAATCATTTTCAAAATCACATGGACTTGGTACCATTGGCTTACTAGTAAAAACAAAATATTGCAAATGCATACCACCACATATCATCAAACAATCATCAGACAGTGTACATACTGAATGACCAGCTGACCTAAAAGACTGGTCAAACTGAATATCTTCACATGAAAATGTTTCTACATTTAATATTGAAACAGAATTTTTGCCTTGAAGATTATTCTCATCCACCCCTCCAACAACAAATATGTGTGGGCCAATCACTTCTGTTGAATGGTATGAAACACCAACAGCAGGAGAATTTAATTGGCAAATATTAAAATTTCTGTGTAAAAATGCTTGTCAGAATCCATCTTCAAAATAAGTACATTTGATAACGGTATTCTGCGAAGATCATTTTCAGTCTTTGTAACACCGCCAATATACACAATAGACCTCATACCTTTGATATCCATAATGTTGGCAGTGTGATAAGCTCTTGGCTCAGGTCCAGACACAGAAAGTTTGGTCCAAAAGAGACTTTCAAAATCAAACATATAAAAACTACTATCATTGGTTACATTTGTAAATAAAGATGAACCAACACATGTATTTCTGTTTGGAAAACAAACGCCACCATGTAAAATGACACAACAATTAAAAATATGTGTAAGTGTATGTCCACACCTACCGGAGGGAATTTCACCCCCTAATTCTCGCAAAGAAATGCCACCTGGTGGCTGTACAATTTCAACTACACCTTTCTTGTCATTTAATTTGACAATATACAATTCATTTGACATAGAAAAACATGACAAATTGAGACCACCCCAAACAAATAAACAATTCTGAGGTGTAATATAAAAACCAGCACTTGACTGCAAGTGTGGAAACTGCCCACCTGAAAGCTTAATTTCAGATATACTATCAACATTGACATCATTGTCATCAACATCAAAGGATACTTTGTACAATTTGTTTGACATACTCCAAGTGCTCTCTTGCCCTCGTCTGGCACCACCAAAATATAAACAAGTATAACTATTGATAGGTAATGAAACATGTCCTTCTGGTGGAAAATAATTCAATTCATCTGCTGCGGCACTTTTTCTTGTAATTCTTCGCAGAGGATTCGTTGAATGTGATTTAAAAGGCAATGCACGGAATTGTTTGTAAATACTCATCATGCACAGTTAATGTATTAAATATAAATGAAGAAAAAACAAAAACTCCAGAACGTACAGGATAAATAAACAGGAAACAGAAGAGGTTTATCTATATCTACCTAGGGACCCATCACCAAGAGTATACATGCATAAATACTGTAATAATAGAATGTGTTCTTAAATATACATATTTGAATTATGTATTTTAAACATGTTAAAAATTTACTGGGGATTAAACAAAAATGAAATAAAGGCTGCATACATGAGAAATGCAACTTACCAACATGTAGGTTAATTACTGTTTTTATACAGTATGCAGTACAGCTGCTTATAACTTTAGAACTATAAAGAGTGGTGGATTGGCACTATTTTCTACAAGAAAATATAACTATAGTAAAATTCATGTCCACTGACCATGACATATCAATAAAAATTTATCTACATTTAATCAACATCATTGCATCATCGAAAATCGAAAGTAATACACCTTTCTTCATAAAACCTCCTAAAATTACACTCTCCTGAACACTTTTAAATAAAATCAACAAAATATAACCTACCTTGTACGTAACTGGAGCTTAAAAAACAATCGAGAGGTATCGATCACGACAAATTATTATGATGACGCCGAAACCGGAAGTGTAGGAGTTATCGTTCCTATAACCGGAAATAAGGCACGGATTATTGCCCTTAGACATGAATTATCGTTCTTAGCAGGAGACGCCAAATATAACGGAAGTTTGATAGTGATATATCCTGCATGAACAACACCAATATAAACTGATTATAGAATGTGTTGATAAAAAATCTAAGAAAAAGCAGTGCTCTTATGTAATGAAGATTATGCACAACAGAGCTGCCAAAATTATGTAATATAAACCAGTGCTCAAGTTTACTAAATGAATGATGATATATTTAAAAATTATTTTTGGTTACACTGGCGAAACTTTTAGTCACCATCTAGAAATGTTTAAGTCCTAAGCAATTATGACAAAAATATTTTTTAGGGAAGTCTCCATTTTTTTTTGGTCAGAAATCTCCATCAAGATTTATTCTACAGATAAAAAAGACTATAAGTATTTCGATCATTCCTTTCAAAAGTTTTTCAGTTTATCAGCTTTTTGTAGGAAAATTTTTTAAAGACAATTAAAGCTGAACAACGTACAAGATTGTCAAACTCTGAATTTACATTCACATTTTTAAATCACAAAAAAAACTTACCTTGTACACTTTGAAATAAATATTATCCATTATACATCACATTATACATCACTTAAAATATGCAGCTGAATCATAAATTTCCAATGTGCAGTATGTAAATATTGCATATTACACAAAAAATGATTGCTTTCTAGACATCCACTGAGCAAAAACATCTAACAAACTGCAATTTAGCCTAAATAAATTCAAAACATTGTCAGTCTCTCACCTTATGTATATTTTTGTCAATCACAAAACAGCACAGCGGTCTAAACTGCTTGAAACTATATAAATCTTTGGATATGGCAAGATGTAGAAAAATTTGAAGTCAGTACCATTGTAACATCACACTTATGCATTACATAACAGAGCATGCTTTGTTTTAACATTAAAAATAATACCTTTTAATATATTTCTGTCCGAGACATAATTACACATTTCCATTTCTGGCCCATTACTCCATGTACTCAGAGACATAAATAATGTTATTTATATATGCCTTCGCTTTATTGTAAAGAGAAGTGTGAAGACCAAATCTGGATTTCCATTGTTCATGCTGCACGTCCCTGAGGCTGACATCAAAACAAACGCATTTGTTTCTGGGTGCTCTGCAAAAATACATTACAATAGCATATAAGTATTTTACATCCTTACACTAAGGTAATGTTAGGTAAACAATTCTAAACCCAAGCATATTTACCAAGAAATGGGTTCTCCAACACCAAGTTTCTAGTTTTGCCAGCATCGCATATCATTTCCCGCCATGTGCCATAAAATATGAATCTGAAGAGACACATATTTCCGGATATAATTAACTTTAATTTGGTGCGTTCCATTGTTTACAATTTAAAGTAATTTCGTTCTTTTTTATTGTTTTACAAGTAAAAACACCCATTTTACAGTAATGATAGAAAAAAAAAAATCATGTTTCAAAAAGGTTATTGCAATTTTATATCGGAAATAAAATTTCCCTTGTCAATTGATTTTATCTTCCATCTTTGGTTTCCGATTTGTGGAATTGACAACGTGATTGCGTGATTGACCAAAATAAGTTTATGTTCAATATATTTACATATTTGATGGAATTTATGTGATCAATTCACTTGTATATTCATTTATCTTTAAATGTAAGCAAGACTTTTCCGTCTTTATTGCTTGTGTAATGGTCTGAGGCATGGATTCGGTCTCCATCACTTATGTGGTCTGTTTAATTGTTGTTTAACGTCCTCTCAAAACTTTTTCACTCATATGAAGACACCACCACTTGCTGGTGGAGGTCTGCAAGTTTAGACCTATACTTGGTACTCATGGGCATGGAAGGGTGAGGGATTTATTTTTTATAGTGGTGATACACCTACTGCCACACAGTACCTCAATTTTTAGCGAGCGCAGTCAATGATGCGAAGTGCCAATCCTCACTGCGAAGTCTAACGACAAACTCTGTCACAAAGCCTGTGTAAAGAGAAAATTTGGACTACTGCACATAATTCAAATAGAATTTTTTCCATAGTAACTGTGGAACCACAACCCTTAGAAATTGCATCTCGCCACAAACTATGTTGTCGTGTGTACAAGAAGTTCCACGAAAAAATAAACTCACCTTAACTTAAACAGATATATAGCATATATATAGTAGCTTGAATTTTTTATAAAAGAAGAAGTCTGGACGTACCAAAATCCAAATGCCACATATGGTTTGAAGAGCTCTATCTAAATTAAGTCTGCGCTCACTCTAACGGTCCCACCTATACTTGGTGTAGGTGGGACTGTTACAATTTTTACAGTATTGAATAATTAATTTTCAATTTACGATATTGAATATTACAGTTTCATTAAACCACACAGTTACTTCATGAATGGAATTAAAAAGGAGGTCAATATTGATGTTAAAAGATTATTGATTGGTAATATCATTGATTGGAACAATGTGAAGGAGTCATACTATATAGTACTTATCCATGCCTCGTTGCACACAATGTGTTGTGAAGGTACCCAAAGAATGGTAATACATTATCATTTTTAGATAAAGTCTTTTAATATTAATATT